CAGCTCTCGAGTGAAAGTAGCCAGGTGGCGACCCGTCCGAGCACACGTGCAGTGTGTCACGCGCTCGTAGGCAGGGGTGAACTGGTGAACACCCCCGTCCTGGAGTGCACTACCTGCCACCAAGTTCGTAGAGAACGAGGGGAGGTAGAGACCTGACAGCGTGCCGGACGGGACCGCCGGACAAGGAAGGACAGTGGAGGAGGTCGCAATGACCGGACCCCCAGAGGGGTCAGCAAGGGAGACCGCAACTGGCCGAGCGAGTGGCTCAAGGACAGTGCGGTCACGAAAGAAAGAGCGAGAAGCACCTGAGTCCAGTGTGAAGGTGTGCAGTGCTGCAGTCGACTCAGTACCAGGGGGCACAGACGCACTAGCACCTAGGGCAGCAGCCTCACCAGGACCTGTGGGAGCGGACGCACTAGCACCTAGAGCGGCAGCCGGACTGGCCTGAATGCCCGGGTCGGGCGGAACACGCAAGTACTGAGCACCCTCTCCACTAATAGACATCGCATACATGGCAGTGAGAATAGCATCAAAGTCTAGAGCCCAAATATCAACACCCCTCTTTTCCAGCTCAGCCCAGCGCGGCAGGTCAGTGGCACTAGGAAACTGGGTGCGCCACGCGTCGTTAAGGCGCGCGAAGCAGCGCTGCGTGGGGTGCGGCCTCCCACACTGCTGGCCGCTGCGGTCACCTGTGCGAATAACGTACGTGCAGGTAACTCCACGCTGCGCATACCACTCACGGGCGGCCTGAAGCGTCGGGGCGGGCTGCTGACTCTGCCCTCCGCCAGTGCCTCCACGACCACCACCCCGGCCACCTCCACCCCTGCCGCCACCACGACCACCTCCGCCCCCGCTGCCGCCTCCGCCCCTGCCACCACTCCCGCCGCTGCTGTCTCCTCCCCCACTGCCGCCACCGGCCTCCTCAGCCGCGCCTCCACTCCCACCGCCTCCACCCCCACCTCCTCCGCCGCCACCCCCACCCCTGCCCCCCTTGTTCCTGCGGCGCCCGCTCGAAGCAGACGCGGTCCCGACCTTCTCAGCACCGAGGAGGTCGACAGCAGCAGCAGAGGCGACAGAGGGGAGGAGGGGGGAAGGGGAACACCCCTCAAAGAACGGGGTGCGGGGGTCGCCACGAGAGGTGCCTACAGCTACAATACTCGCCTCAGCTACAAGCAGTTCCTTCTCGAGGAGGGCAACAGTGAGCTCAGTGGGGGAGCGAGAGAGGAAGTGGTCCCTGACTGCGCGCAGAGAGTCAGGGAGGCGGGTGACGATGTGGTAGAGAGTGATCCAGAGCGGGGGGGGGTTGCTAGTGAGAAACTCGGCAGGCATAGCAGCGCGAAAGCGGGCCTCACTAGTCTTAAGGTGGGTGATGAGGTCTGCGACAGTGTGAAAGGAGGCTAGGTCGGGGAACAGGTAGGGGAGAGTGAGGCGGCCTAGCGTGGCAGAAGCAGGTGAGGAGTAGCGGGCAACTACAGCTGTGTAGAGGTCCTTAGCAGTCTTGCACTGGCCGAAGTGCTCGCGCTCGTCTAGCGGCAGGGAGTTGCGAATAGCAAAGCGAGCGTGCGCATCACGGGTCTGCCACTGGGAACGCAGAGTGCTGTCAGCAGACGAGTCAGGGGCAGTGGCATGGCCTAGGGCGTGGTCGTACAGTGAGATATCTTCCTTGGCTGTGAGCTGTAGGAACAGGTGCAGGTCATCTAGCCAGGTTTCGAACTTCACTGGACGGCCCTCGGCATCGAAAGCTAGAACGGGAGGACTAGCCATAGCGACAGTAGCAGTAGCAGTAGGAATCAGGCCGCTGGAACGGTGTGCGGAGGGTCAACGGGGCCGGCGGGGCCGCTAGGTAAGGCGCGGGCGGGGTCGACTGTCCGTAGTGGCACACGAGCGGCAGTAGTAGGTAGCTGGGCAGCAGGAGCTGCAACGGTGCACTGGTGGCAGCTGCAGTGGCAGCAGTGTGCACGGTAGGTAGAAAATAACAGTTGTGAGAGCGAGTGCCTCGCGGGCGGCGGCTGCAGAAGCGCACGGGCGGCAGCGGCGGTGCACGGGCAGCGGTGGCGCACGGGCAGCAGCAGCGTAGGGGCAGCAACGGCGCACGGGCAGCGGTGGCGCTCGGGAGGCAGCGGTGCGCAAGCAGCAGCGGAAGAAGCGGCGTACAAGCGGCTGCGGGCAGCGGGGCGTGCGCGAGTAGGCGATCGGCGGCTGCGGGGCGTGTGCGAGCAGGCGACGGGCGGCTGCGGGCGGGCGGCCACTGAGACGGCGGGCTGCGGGCTTGCGGGGCGTGCGTGCGCAGGCGACGGGCGGCTGCGGGGCGTGCGCGAGCAGGCGACGGGCGGCTGCGGGGCGTGCGCGAGCAGGCGACGGGCGGCTGCGGGGCGTGCGCGAGCAGGCGACGGGCGGCTGCGGGGCGTGCGCGAGCGGCTGCAGGCAACGGGCGTGCGGCACGCGAGTGGCTCTGGCGGTGCGCGGGCCGGCAGCGGGCGGTGCGCGGGCCGTTAGGGGCGATCGCGGGGCCGACGAGGCCGCTAAGGGGCGGGCAGCGGGGTCGTTAGAGGCGCTAAGGGGCGGCGCGACGGGGCCGTGAGGGGCCTCTAGGTCAAAAACGACGGGGCCGCGGGGCCTCTAGACGGGGCTCGATCGACGGGGCCAGCGGGGCCGAAAAAAAAAAAAAAAATGAAGCGCTCGAGGGCGCTACGGGGGAGGCGCTAAGAACGCGCTCCGGTAGTAGGTAGGTAGTAGGTAGGTAGGTAGGTAGGTGGGCCCGAAGGACGGTCCTAGCGAAGGACCTGCTCTGAAACCATGTCAAGAATAACTGACTGGAATGACTGAACTAACAGGGAAGGCAGTACAAATACAAACCCTAGAATAGTGTACCCCATATAGTCTAGCCCACTGTAGCCTAACAACAACCAACATATATAATGTTTGACACGTACCCCAATACACACCTTTCCGTGAAAATGTGCACCCCAAAAAACACAAAAACATTTCGCGCCTCTAATATCGTGACAACGCGAAAACACTCGTGTGAGTGAGACGGGGATTGTATCACGACGAACGAAAACAATCATTGTTTCGCGCAGTTGTTGTTTTCATAGTCGCGAAACTTTTCCACTTCGTTAAACGACATGTAACACGTTCGTCAAAATCGCTTTTTGACTGGTTTTTTTTTACGATTATTGGCTTACGACTGTCGAACTTGTTACGCTAGAAGTCCGTCAGGACCAACTGCCCCTGGAAATCGAGCGCACGTGGCGACAGCTAGCGTCCTTTCGTGTACGAATAACGGGCTCTACGAAAATGCGTCCTTGCACGAAAAATACACGTTTGCGGGTGTATCACGATTGAATATCGGTCGGGATTCGGGTAAGAGATTTGTGACACTTACCGTATTTAACCGTAATACATCAAATGAGACCGCCACAGAACTTACACGCTGGATTACCCTCGTAAAAACCACGCCAGGTCAACGTGCGAAAATGAGAAACGAAAAAAATAATAGCTGAGAATTCTGGTCCGCCCTTTAGACGGTGAGGCCACAGGTGCGAAACTTGACAGGTGATGAAAAAAAAAAAATATTTGCACTGTTGCTCATCAAATTAGACCGCAATTAAACGTACAGAAGAAACCCAAATTGGCCAACGCGCGAGCATACCCCGTGAAATAGACAGCCACAAAAATAACATTTGTTTCCAAAATCTGGTTCACGCTTCACGCAAAAACGGACTTGTGTCAGTACTCCACGTGAATTTAACGCACGAATGGTCGACAACTAACTTAAAACTCATGTACAAATTGTTACTAGTTTTTGAAACTTGTGCAAAATTGTTTGCTAGATGGGGGGGGGGGGGAGTGAATGCATGCTTAGTACTCCTGAACGAATCAACCACAAATCTGTTTGAGGGCTTTAAGTTAAACCTTTTTCTGGTGCAGTTAATGAGTGCACACGTGGAAAATCATCGAGTGCGAAAATGGTGCTTTAGTGGTGCTTACGGAGTGCTGGCGCGAAACGTGTACCCCCGAAACAGTGACGGCGTGTAGGCAAATACCGTGGGCATTTCACACGATTACAGGGTTGTTTTTTGCTTGCTCTGCAATTTGGTGCAGGGAGATTTTTTGCGCTTAAAATATTTTACGTGTGGTTTTCGTGCTCAGTCCTAGAAATGGGGCATGAAGTCGAATACCTCGTGAAACCGTGGGCAGATGGGGAAGCAGTACGCATTCCACTGCCTACACGAGTGAAGCGAATTGCAAACAGGCCGATAGGTTTTCGCATGGGCACCATGACGCGAGGGAAGGAATTCTCGAACGCGGGAAATTGACCTGGAGAAATCGGTAGGGGTCCTACACTCGCTGCGACGCCGGGTAACCAGTTGGTTGCGTACTGCGTCAGCCTGGCCCAGCCCCGGTCGGCGATTGGGTCAGGTGGTCCCAGTCGAACTGCGTCAGCCGGGCCAGGGCTGCGTCAGCTTTCGGCCGAGCCACGTGCGATCGTGGCTTGGTCCCCAGCCATGCCCAAGGGTCGGCCGCCCGATTTCGCAGCAGTGGTGAGCGGCGAAGTGCCCAGCCCTGGGTTCGTCGTTTTCCTGGCGTGCCCCGCGTCAGGACACCGTAACCCTCGCCCCATTACGGGGCCCTGGTTACGGAGCCTCGCGCGCCATTACGGACAGTTTTTCCTCGAGGGTTTGACGGTCAGCCGATTGCAAAATTTAGGAGGTGTTACATAACGCACTGGTCCATTTACAAGGAAATGGACCAGCGAATGCAAGGGGGCACCATTTTAGAGGAGCCACTTCCAAAAGTGGTCCCGCGTGGTACCGGGGACCATTTGCGGCGGACCAGCTATGCACAGTGCATTGCAGCTTCGAAAACGAAGTGTTGACGAAAATAAGAGTGTACCTGGTCACGCTTGAACAAGATGTCGCACACAGCAGATACTTTTGGCGAAACAATCAAAACGCAGTTTTCGCATGCGATTCCCATCGCCTTGGGTCACTCTGGAAATGGTCCTGCGTGTCGAGCGTCGTTTTCGTACGTGCGCCTCGCACTGTACATGCTGGTCCGTGGGCGGGTGCAAGTCGGGTCCACACCTGGGCCGCTCGCTGGTCCATGCTGGTCCGCGCTGGTCCGCGCAAATGCCCTAGGCCGCAGCGGCCCAGCACGGCCCAGCGTAGTTCTTGCTCACATGTAACACCCCCTTATCAATTCTCGATTCCGAGGCCACACAATCTACGATTTACCGCCTGGCTATCATCAGACTCCCGCCCCCCAAAGTTGCGATGTTCGTCGTCGCTTCCCTCCTCCCCGCCGTCGCCTCTCCCTCCTCCCCGCCGTCGCCTCTCCCTCCTCCCCGCCGTCGCCTCTCCCTCCTCCCCGCTGTTGCCTCTCCCTCCTCCCCGCCGTCCCCTCTCCTCCTCCCCGCCGTCGCATATCCTCCTCCCCGCCGTCGCCTCTCCCTCCTCCCCGCCGTCGCCTCTCCCTCCTCCCCGCCGTCGCCTCTCCCTCCTCCCCGCCGTCGCCTCTCCCTCCTCCCCGCCGTCGCCTCTCCCTCCTCCCCGCCGTCGCCTCTCCCTCCTCCCCACCGTCTCCTCTCCCTTCCCCGCCATCGCATCTCCTCCTCCCTGCCGTCGCCTCTCCCTCCTCTCCGCCGTCGCCTCTCCCTCCTCCCCGCCGTCGCCTCCGGCGACAGGTGCACGAGCGCAAGCGCGAATTGGTGCGGTGGTTGTTTTCTGAGTTGTCGTGGTTATCAGGTGCGTTCCCGGTCCTTTCATACTCCCTTCCCCCTCTGAAAGTTCTTCTTTTTTGTTTTTGTTTTTGTTTTTTTTTTTTTTTTTGTGTGGAAATTTTCGATTGGTCTCCTCTTGCGCAGCTCTTTTAGTGAAGAAAGGGAGAGGCGCGGAGCGCGAGGGAGAGCGTGTGAGAGTGAGCGTGAGAGAGCGCGTAAGAGAGCGTGTGAGAGAGCGCGTGAGTTAGCGCGTGAGATAGCGTGTGACAGCGCGTGTGAGAGTGCGCGTGAGAGTGCGCGGGACAGAGCGCGCGAGAGAGCACGCGAGAGTGCGCGCAAGGGAGCGCGGGAGAGTGCGCGTGAGAGCGCGTGAGAGCGCGCGTGAGAGCGCGTAAGAGCGCGCGTGATGGAGCGCATGAGAGCGCGCCTGAGAGAGCGTGCGAGAGTGCGCGCTAGAGTGCGCGCTAGAGTGCGCGCGAGAGTGTGCCAGAAAGAGCGCGCGAGGGAGCGCGTGAGTGAGAGTGCGCGTGAGAGTGCGCGTGAGAGAGCGCGTGAGAGCGTAAGAGAGAGTGCGCGGGAGAGTGCGCGAAAGTTCGTGCGAGGGAGCGCGCGATCGAGCGCGCGAGAGTGCGCGAGAGAGAGCACATGAGAGTGCGTTCTAGAGTGTGCGCGAGAGAGCGTGCGGGAGAGTGCGGGGGAGAGTGCACGAGAGTTTGTGCGAGGGAGCGCGCACGCGAGAGTTTGCGCGTGAGGGAGCGCGTGAGGGGGCGCGTGAGGGGGCGCGTGAGGGAGCGCGTGAGAGTATGCGTGAGAGCGCGCGCGAGAGTGTACGCGCGTGAGAGAGCGCGTTAGAGTGCTGGTGCGAGTGCGAGGGCGAATGCGAGCGTGAGTGTGGGTATGAGTGCGAGGGCGAATGTGAGGGTGAGTGCGGGTGTGAGTGCGAGGGCGAATGTGAGCGTGAGTTCGGGTGTGTGTGAGGCTGAGCACGATGGTGCAGGTGTGATTGCAGTGGTGAGTACGAAGGCAAGTGCAAGTATGATCCCAAGCGTGAGTGAGTGCATGTGTGAGGATGAGGGTGAGGGTGAATCTGAAGGTGAATGCAAGGGTGGCTGCAAGGTATTGCATGCATTCTGGCGTAGTATGTGTGACGCCATGATGTTTACTATCAAGTCACCTTTGTAAGATGTCAAAATTGATTGTTTCCATCACTCATCTTTCGTTTGTATATTGCATTCTTCAGCGCCAATTTCTGTTGCGCTTACTTGGCTTTTAGTGCATCGGAAATTTGTTTCTTGTGCGTAAATGAAGCTGCATTCTCTGATTTTGTTTTCTTGTGCAACTCATGCAAGTTGTATTCTCTGATGTTGTTTGTGTTTGTGCAGGGAGTGAGTTGCATTCACTGTTTCTTCTTTCCTATGTAGGGAGTTCAAGCTCCAGCCTTTGTTTCTTGCGGAGAAAAGGGATGGGGGGAAGGGAGATGAGGGAAATGAGGGAGGGAGGGAGGGGAACGGGGACAGGCTAGTGATGAATTATTCAGGCTGAACTTCATTCATTATGCTTGTATGTGTGAGCCTGTATGTGCGCGAGTGTTTACGTTTGCATACGTGTGTTGTGTGTGTTTCAGGGTGTGGTGCTAAGTGCCTTGTAAATGCAACTCGGATTGTGATCGTCTGTGGGACAGCTTTGGTAACCTCCGTACCAGATCAATCTCAGTTGCAACACTGATGCATTTAGCATTTGCCTTGAAACATTCTTAATCGTTGCACTCTGTTTTTGTATTAGCTTTTGTGTTATCGTTTGTGCTTGTTTTGGGGTGTGGTGCTAAGTGCCTCGTATGTGCAGTTGGTGTTAAAACAGGTTCATAACTTAGGACTGGGTTTAGGCTAGGCCAAAGAGAGTGTCTAGAGAGTTGCCAAAGCAAAGAGAGCTTCACTATAGAATTGCAAGTAAACATGCAAGGAGGAGTGGTGCACCACCAAGCAGGACAGCTATGTAATTACACTACAGCTAGAACTACATGCACTTATACAAAATATATATAAAATATATTATGACACACCCCCTAAGTGCATGCAGGAATAGCCATGTGCAAAACACCCCCTGAAGTGGTACACCCGGCAGAGCGTAGCAGAAGAAGAGGGCAAGTGAGGAGGAGGAGGGACTGTGAGAGGAGAGGGGGTAGGAGGAGGCAGCTGAAGTTGCTGGCACACCGGCGACTGGAGCTGGCATCCGGACTACTGGAGTAACTGGCTCCGCGGCTAGACGAGTGGCTAGAGCAACTGACCCACGAGCGATCGGAGCAACGGGCTCACGTGCTACCGGAGCAAAGGCATCCGGACTACTGGAGCTGCTGGCTTAATGGCAGCTACCATACCTCCTTTCAACCTCCCCCCATTGTCCCACCCCCCCTTATGCATCCCTAGCACCACTCCCTCGGCTCCCCCACACCCTCCCCCCCTCAGCGGCAGCTGCAGCAGTGGGAGAGAGAGGAGGAATAGGAGCAGCAGATAACTCACACCCCCCACCCCCATACCCTCCCCCCCACTGCTCACGCGCAGCAGGGGGATGGAGGAGAAGGGGGGGCGGGGTAGGAGCTGCACGGGCGACAGCAGGGGCAGTGCACGTGCGCGCGCGGCCTGGCAGGTACGTGTCATAATCAACGAGCATGAATGATTGCATTGAAGAGATTATGGGTACAAGTACTAATCCTAACATTGGGTTGTACCCCATATGGGCTACCCCACTATAGCCTACACAGAACTAACACATATATAGTTTGACACACCCCCATAGGCAAAGTGGGGGGGAACAAGGGTTCACAAGACCAGTCAAGAAAAGCAAGCAAGCCCAGGGTGGATCACAATGTCACCACACACACTGAGCACAAACAAAGGGCCACAAGGCCAGTTCACATGCACAGGCATATATGCAACAACAACAATACAGTGATCACTACCTAGCAGGAGTAGGCATGCAGGTATACAATAAAGATCACAATACAAGCAAATTCAAGAGGTAAGCAAGTGAGCAAACACTGGCACCAGGCCTAAAGCTGTGCAAAAGCGCTGATGGTCACAAGGTGGAAGTGCCTTGGTGAACACATCAGCAGTGTTGGCCCTGGTGGCCACGTAAGAAACACGAAGCTGACCACGCTGCTGCAACTCTCGAGCAAGGAAGTAACGCAGAGCGATGTGCTTCGTTCTGTGCTCCAGTCTGTGCTCCTGACACAAGGTAATAGCAGACGAGAACAGTAGACGAGCGTGTAGACCGCCAAGAAACAGAGCCGAAGCCAAGGCTGAACGTGTAACCCTATGATGACCACTGCGTAGCCAGGTCGTCGACCCAAGAAGCGTCGGAGTGTCCAGTGAGGACAACGTCACCCCGTCCTCCAAGCACGAGCCCCATGCTCGATGTACTGCACAAGTAGCGTAACACCCTCTTAGCAGCCTCCCAGTGCTCTCGCCGGTGTCTCCTGAGCGCAACGTAACGAGCCAGGATGCTAAGAGGGTACGCAAGGTCAGGTCGAGTGCAGGTCATCAGGTACATGAGGCAGCCCACAAGCTCTCGATACGGTCCACTCGGCTCTACGGACTCATCTGAAGGCAGAGCTGAGAGCGAGTGACCCGTAGCCATAGGAGTGGACTGTGGCGAGGACCAAGTGAAGCCGAAGTGCTGAAGGACCTGCTGCACCATGTGTGACTGAGTCAGGGTGATGGTGCGGCGTGCTCTGTCCCGGGTGATCTGCAAGCCAAGGTAACTGCGCAGCTCACCCAGGTCCGTGCACGTGTGTCGCTTCTGCAGCTCCGACTTCACAAGAGCGAGTGCCTCAGTGTTAGCAGTGGCAAAGACCAAGTCGTCAACGTACACGAGGATGTAGAACGGCGGCAGCGAAGTGTCGGTGCGCAGGAACAGCGACGGGTCAGCAGTGGAAGGAGCAAACCCAAGAGCCGCCAGTGTCGTCCTCAGTGTGTCGTGCCACTCACGAGGCGCCTGGCGGAGACCGTAGACTGGCCGACGGAGGCTCCACTGGGTACCAGGAGGAAACGACCCAGTGAAGCCAGGTGGGCGGCGCAGCCAGATCTCTTCGTGCAGGCTGCCCTGTAAGAAGGTTGTGCTGAAGTCAAGAGAGTGAAGCTCGTAGTCACGCTGAGCGGCAACGTGCAGCAGCACCCGAAGAGTGGTCATCTTCGGGGTAGGGGAGAAGGTCTGGAAGAAGTCAACTCCCTGTCACTGACTGAAGCCTCGTGCAACGTAACGAGCCTTGAAGACAAGCGGAGAACCCGGCGGCCGCTTCACCCTGAAAATCCACATGCCATCAACGATGTTCGCCCCAGGAGGGGGAACCTCGTCGACGTAAGTGCATGTGGACTTCCAGGATGCCATCTCTGCGTCCATGGCTGTCTGCCACTAAGAGGAGTAGGGACCCTCTATCGCCTCTGCGTAAGAGCGCGGGGTCGGGATGTCCAGTGCATCCGGGTCTCCCTCAGGAGCAAGCAGCATGGCCACGAGATGAGGTACAGCGGCTGCAAGACACTCAAAGTCCTCCTGTCTGTCCTCAAGGACGTCCGTGCCAAGAGCACACTCACCCCCAACGGACGGAGGACAGACAGACTCATACTCAGCAACAAGACTAGCAGCGTAGTCAAGACGACAGACAGCAACAAAGTCAACAAGCTCAGCGACTAGGGCAGACGCAGCAGCAGACTCAAATGACGGGTCAGTGACAACAGTGGCGAGCAGACGCGTGATAGTAGGGTGAGCAGCACGAACCAGGTCAGACTCAGGGTCCGGAACGTCAGGCAGAGAGGACGCAGGAGGAGACGGCAGGGGGACACGCTGCGGAGCAGAGGAGGGACGAAGTGCCATAGTGTGAGTACCAGGCACAGGAGGAGGACGCGGACGCGGGACGCGACGAACACGGAGAACAGTGCGAATAGGGGAGATAGGACGAAATGCAGGCTCACGACGCTCTGTAAGCGAGTCAGTCTGCTCAGTGTAAGGGGAAAGAGCAGGCAGTGGGGAGCCTGGCTGTAACGGGAGGCCAGTAGAAGACGGGAGGCTAAGAACCTGGCGAAGCACGTAGGCGGTGGCAGCGATGGCGGTGACGGCGGAGCGAAGAAAAGCCGAGGCTGTGCAGTGTCACCAGCACCGGAAGCGCCAGCGCCTCCAGCAGCTCCAGAGCCTCCAGCTCCAGCGCCTCCAACTCCAGAACCGCCAGCTCCAACGCCTCCAGCAGCTCCAGAACCTCCAGCTCCAGGGCCTCCCGCCTCAGTACCTCCGGGCGCAGCTCCCCCAGAACCGGCACCTCCAGCTCCAGGCTCTCCAGCAGCAGCACCCCCAGAACCGGCACCTCCAGCTCCAGGCTCTCCAGCCCCAGTACCTCCAGCAGCAGCACCCCCAGAACCGGCACCTCCAGCGCCAGGGTCTCCAGCCTCAGTGCCTCCAGCAGCAGCACCACCACCAGCTCCGGCAGCTCCTGGACCTCCAGGACGAGCACCTCTGGGACCAGCAGTGGCAGCACAACCAGCAACTTCAGCACCAGCAGCACCACCAGCGCCGGCAGCCCCAGTACCACCAGTACCAACACCTCCGGGACCAGCAGTGCCAGCTCCTCCGGTACCAGTAGCTCCAGGGCCTCCAGCTCCAGCAGCTCCACGCGGAAGGCAGTAGCGCTGAGTGTACCACTCACGCAGCTGCTGTGGTGAGAGAGGCTCCCGCCGGCTAGACTGATGGGGTGAGGCCCCTGGAGAACCGCCAGGACCAGTAGACGTAGCACCACCAGGCTCAGCACCCCCAGAAGTAGCACCCGTAGGCTCAGCACCCCTAGGCTCCTCCCGCTCTAGCGTAGCACCCCCAAGCTCAGCACCCCCAGGCACAACACCCCGAGCAGCACCACCCTCAGCGGCACCTGAGTCACCAGTGACCTCGACAGGCTCAGCCAAGGGAGGCGGGTCTACCTGAGACACACCTGAAGGAGCAGGACCCTGAGGGGGGGGGGGGGCTCAACCGGAGGGGAACCTGGAGCGAGGAAGAGGGGCGGCGGGGGGAGAGGGGCAGTGCGGCAGGGAAAGAGGCGGTAGAAGGGAACCGACTCGTCAAACGTGACGTCCTGAGAGGCAAACACCCGACGCGACGTGGGGTGGTAAAACTGCCAGCCAGGCGCGTCAGGGGGAAAACCAAGGAAGACGCAGGGAATGGCGTGAGCGGAGAGCTTGTCCGCGGTGGTATCACGGACAAAGGCACGAGAACCCCAGACCCGGAACCGCGACGCATCGCCAACCTCCCCCGTCCAGCGCAGTGTGGGCGAGGTCTCCGGCAAGGAGACACGGGGCCAGAGGTTGAGCTGATGCGCAGCGTACCGGACCGCAAACGGCCACAGAAAATGGGGGCAGCCGCATGGACCATGGAGGTACGAGCGACC